AATACTTGCATGGCCTATGCCAATTCTTTGTGCTGCTAAAGGGTGGTGACTCAGAGAAACCCGTGCTTAACTTAGTAAAGCTCACTTAGACATGAAAAAAGTACTTAGAGACAATTTTTTAAATTTTTATTTTATTAGTGAGGAAAGAGCAGAAATGCTATGTACTATAAGGTGAGAAGAATTCTGACGGTCCAGAGACAACTTGACCCAGGCGTTTATGTAAGAGGTGAGCTGTAAGGGAAAGGAGATGGAGGAACTTTCCAGCAACAATGACTAATGTTCTATTTTAAGTTGTTTGTTACGCTATATTCCCAATTCTTCAGCAGAATTCAGCTACAAATAATTTCCTTATGTTCCTGGCAATTTGGGGGGAAATCAAGAAGGAAAGGTCTGTGTTTCACATTTAGGCCGTTGTGAGGTGGACAGAAAGACAGTAACTTTATCAAGGAGGTCAAGGAGAAGCCAGCCGTGCTTTGCAGAAATGGAGAGTGGAGGATTCACGAGTGTGCATTTTGGTTGTGGTTGGGGGTTGCTGAATTTCTCCCAGTTACGTTTGGTATGGGAATGGAAGCAGATGCATTTAAATATTAAGAGACTAAAACCAAACCATACCTACTGCCCCCAAGCTGTGACTCACAGCGACACTGCAGGACAGAGAACAGTCCCCTAGGATTTCTGAGATTGTAACCTTTTCAGAAGCAGTTTTATCTTTCTCCTTCAGAGTGACTAGTGGCTTTGAATCACTGATCTTTCAGGTACCAGTCCAGCGCTTAACCCAGCACACCACCAGGGGTTATTGAAGAGACCAGGTGACCCCCAACAGCTGACGACACCCAAGCAGCCAATGTATACTGTGATAAGCCCGTTTTTGTTAAGTGACGTCGAGTCGGTTCTGACTCATGGTGATCCGGCATAGAATTTCTGAGACTGAAATCTTTGTGGAAACAGATGGCTTCATCTTTCTCCTGAGGAGAAGCTAGTGGGCTTGAACTGCCAACCTTGTGGCTCACAGTCTAGTGCTTATCCTACAGTGCCACTGTGCAGTACGTGCATTTTGTTTTTCTCAAGTTGACCTCTTGCTGTTGTTAGTTGTCGTTGTGAGTGCATTCTGAGATCCCCTGCATGTAGTGTCGAACTTCTCCAAGGCTGGGACCTTTTGACAGTGATCACCAATCCTGTCTTCTAAGGTGCTGTGAGGGGACTAGAACTGCCAACCCTTTTTTGAATAACAGCCACGCACATGACTTTTGCACCACCCAGAAAAACAAAAACAAACAAAAAAACAACCCACTGCCATGGTGTAGATCCCAACTTGTAGCTCTCCCATAGGGCAGAGTCGAACTGCTTGTGGGGTTTCTGAGACAGTAAATCTTTATGGGAGCAGCCAGCCTCTTCTTTTTCTCGTTGTGTGGCTGGTGGGTTTGAACCAAACCTTGAAGTTAGCAGTCCAACACTTAACGCCCAGGGCTCCTTGCAACACACAGTAAGAAAACGTAAGCGGTTTCTGTACTATTGTAACAGTAATGTTTGGACTACCTTCTGATAGCTCACTACATGATTTTTAATTACTTTTATGACTTTTTGTTACAACCAGTTCAAATCCACCTTGGAAACCCTGTACAGGGTTGTTATGAGTCAGAACTGACTCTATGGCCCCTAATAACACCCAACAACATTCTCTCTTGGGGCAGAGCAAATGGTTAAAGTGCTCAGCTGCTAACATAAGGGTTGGAGGGGCAAGTCCACTCAGAAATGCCTTTTAAAAAAACTCTGGAGATTTACTTTGGAAAAAATCAGCCACTGGAAACCTATGGAGTATGATTTATTGTGAAACACACAGGGTCACCATGAGTCAGGATTGACTTTATTAGCAACTGGTCTGGTCTGATTTCACAGGCTCCTTTCCACTTGCTCTAGGGCGCCACCTAGGGACAGGATCAAGGTAGGACTATGACATGTGAAAAAAGCCCAGAGAGGGATAGACTATAGGGTGATTTCTTGAATCATATTTTTCTCAGATGGATTTCTGGTGTGGTGCTGTGGGCTAATGCACTATATGGCAGTCAGTTTGAACCACAAGGTCGGCAGTTCAAGCTCACCAGCTGCTCCTTGGAAACCCTATATAGAGTCACTATGGGTTGGTACCAACTTCAAAGCACTTAACATTTTCCTCAGATGTCTGGTTCAAAATGACACCCACTTTAATGAAAAACAAAGAAAAGAACAAGAAGACAAAATGATGATGTCCTTTGCAGTTTACTATTTTACAGCAAGATTTTCTAAATCAGAGCCGGCGTCCTCTGCTCCAAGCAGAAGGCTCTGGGCATATACTTTTCAGAGGGTCCAAAGAACATTTCCCAAACATGAAATGTAAGACAATTCTTCATTTCTCTGACAATGTCCTAGAAGTGCATATTTAATAAATAAATAGAAAATAGATCTTTGTTCATGGTGGCGCCTATAGGAAATGTTTACAAACAAAACACACTATACATCTAACTCCCGAAAAAGGACCAGCTATTTCGGCAACAGGAAGAAGACAAGCATTTCAGTGGAGTGTTATTTTTCTTAAATTCCTAACAGACTTGAACACTTACAGACAGAAACAGCAAACAATAATGAGAACTTCTGAAGCAAGAAGACAAATTGTGCTCATAAGACGAATTGTGCCTAGCCATTGGCTCTTGGTGAGGAAAGAAAGTTTTATGTACTGTTAAACATCTCTACAACTCTGAGAATTTCCACACAGCTACTTATGAAATGGACTGAACCAAAAGACATTCAACATTCCTAGCCACCTGAAAGTGATCACCCCCCTAAGTGGTTTACAGTGTGAGACCCTTGTGTTAAAAAGAGGTGGAAGACTCCACAAAACTGTAGACAAAAGCAAGGGCATGAGGTCATGTTAACTCCCCTCCTCATGGTCACCAGTCTCATTAGGAGAGGTCCTCCATCTGAGAAGCTGTCATGGCTTAAGAGATTGAGTTCCAATGCCAGCTCCTAGCAGCTGAAAGGCCTGTTTACGGGGAGACCTCCCTGGCAGTTGATTGATTTTGGGGAGTTGACTCATGGACTGAGCCTCAGGTGTGCAGCTGGGCTGGGCAGAGGTGAGCCAAGAGAGCCCTCTTTGAAGGAGGAGTTTGTGGTTAGGGCAGGAAAGGAAACAAGTCTGGTTTAGCACGAGACCTGGGGAGACCTTGGCACCTCATGAGAGAAATTAGACCTCTTCTAAGAGTTTTCTTAGCTCTCCCCATGGTAAGCAAGAGAGGGAGGAGGTTAAGAAACAGTAGCTGAGAGGGCGTGGCTCACACAGCTCTTCAGACTCTGGAGATCAGCCAAATCGGCTCACCAAAGCCATTTCAGCCCTGATGCTGTCTGCTGGACCACGCCTCCAGAACGCTGCGGGCAGGTAGCACCAATGCGAGACCCGCAGCCGCTGGACCACCCAGGCACTGGAATTCAGGTAGAATGAACACAGAGGTCTGCAGGAACCACCCAAGCCAGGAAGGGCAATTATTATTATAGTCTGGTCATCTTGTTTCCCTGAAAGGGGGCCTGTTGCATGGCTGGCAGCGATTTCAGGGGCGCCTGGGCCCCCCTGAGCCACAGCTGCTGAGGCAGTGTGGTGCGGCAGGAAGTAGGATTCCTGTCATTGCCTAACCCCCACCCCTACCCCCGACTGACCTCTGTGGGTCTTTCATATCTCAGGGTCTCCTTTTCCCTATCTAGAAAATGAAGGGTTTGGACTAGATGTTTGCTAAGGTACTTTCTAGCTCTGACCTCCCAGGGTCATGGAGATGACAACACAGCCCCCCCCCACACACACACACCTGCCAGGTTCCCAGATGAAGAGCAAATCCAGCACCAATGTAGGCACCAACTCAGGCATTCCACATACTTGCCTCCACCCTCTCTTGGAGTCCCAGGTGGGGCCAAGGACTGACTTCCTCACACACTGGGTATAAACAGCCTAGCGCATACCTCCCTTCTGACACATGCTTCTCCATCACGAGTGGGTCAGCAAGTTGAGGGCCAGAGCTCCAGGAAGGAGCCTCTGAAGTGGCCTGAACTCTGTAGCCTAAATGCCCTCCCCACCACCTGCCTCCTCCCGTGGGAGCCTTCCTGGTCCACCCAGCACATAAAATCTCTCCTCGAAACTGGCACCAAGCCCCATCTCTCCTCTCGCAGACTAACCTGTCTGATACCAGGCACGGGGACTCAACTGCCTACCCCCCAAGACTGCATGGTCCTTGCACTAGAGAACCTCAATCCTGCATGCTCCTGGGCACCAGCCGCCTGGTTGACATTAAGATGAACGTTCTCATTTACAGCTGGGTTCAAGGTACAATCTGGACACCACAGATTTCTGGAATCTCAGAGCAGAAAAGGCCTTGAAAAGTCACCTAGTCCAATTCTCAACTTGCTACCTGAAGTCTCCTGGAAGGCTGAGCGTTCCCGGGGACAGGTCACCACTTTTCCCAAGGAAGCAATTTCACCTGGAGAAGCCTGTGGCGGTGAGTTCTTGCTTACGGCGAGGACAGTTGCCGTAAGGCCAGGACTCGCTTTTCAGCATCTACCATCCCAACGTGCTTGCTTGAGAAAATGGGGATTTGTGACACAGAACTACCCATCCCCCTTGTAACGCCTGGCCAAGCCCTTGGCTGCCAGCACAGCCCGGTTCTCCTCGAATGGTCCCCACAACCCTCCCGGAAGAGGCACAAATAGGAGAGAAGCACCCAGAAGGCTGCAGGGGTGTTTCTAGCATGGGCCCACACTACCCCAGAGCTGCAGGGAGACACTTGAGTGGGGGCGGGTGGGCAGCACCAGGGGTCTCTGATATCTGCCCCGTGGCCCAGCAGGGTTGACACACAGCCTTCCCAAGCGGCTGCTGGTCGGGGGGCAGAGGCACCGAACCACCCTGCCCTGGTCTGCTGCCAAGAGTCCACGTGGTACAGTCCACCACAGGGCAGCATGGAGAGGGGAAGGGGCAGCAGGTGTCCTCACAGCTTCTTCTTCTTCACCACAGGGATGGGCACCGCTTGGAAGATTTTGGCCTTGTGGTCGTCTGTGTCCAGAGTCACCCAGGTGGGACGGAAGCTGCCTTTGAAGCCAATGAATGCCATTTTCTCTGGAAAGCAATGGCGCATCACATGAGTAGAAATCCCCAGAGAGAGTGGCTAAACTCCCTGTCCCTCCACACGTCATGCCCCTGCCCGTACCAAGCACACCCTCCCACTAGTACTCTGGGCTGGGTCCCCTGGGTAGAGCTCTGTGCGCAGCTACCAGTGTTTACTGGCAAGTGTTGCCCCTAGATCTCATCACAGAGGCGGCTCAATCTGTCTGTCTCATACACACTACATGGGAGTGGAGGCATCGGGAGAGGCGGTGCAGGGATTGGCTGAGACAGATGAGACCTCGCAAACCCCGCCCACTTCCGGCCTTGCTTATCACCACTAGCTGTGCCTGCCACCCCATGAAGAACTATTTGCCCGTCTTATTTACAGGACCCCCTCCCTAGCTTGAACGTTCTGTGGCTTTAAGAAGCTTCCAAGAAGCGAAAAGATTAGCCAAAGATACATAACAGACGTTATGCATTTCCCAGACAAGAACTCTGGACCCTGCAGCCTCCCCGTGCAGAAGTTTCTACTGTAGGTGAGAGCTTGACCCCATCCACGTCGACCACACGGGAATAGCCGTCAGACACACACCCACCGCCACTTGCAAACAGCCACTTGATTGAACACCTTCTCCATATCAGATTTAGTCCAACTAACACAAAACTCACTGCTATGGAGTCAGTTCCGACTCATCACAACCCTGTAGGACAGGGTAGACACGCCTCTTGCAGTTTCCAAGGCTGACATCTTGATGGCGGCAGACTGTCACATCTTCCTCCCACCGAGCTGCTGGTGGTTTAGCAAGCCGCTGACCTACCTTTAGGTTAGCTCAATGCTAAACCAACTGCACTGGCACACTATGACCTCTTTAGATTTAGACCAGAGAGCCTTAATTGAAAAGATTTTTTAAAAAAAGACTCTAGGGTGGAGAGCTTGCTACTTCTTTTTTGCTTGTATTCATGTATGGCCGCTGGCGTTAAGGACTTGCATTCTTCCTAGTTTTGTTATGGGAGCTACCTGGGATAAAAGTCCGCTATGATGGGCTGCTAAATTTTATATGACTTTTGTAGTCAGCAGGGTGTACTAGCTAAGAACGCTTGTTTTGAATTAGGGAGATTTGCACCTAAACCCTCATCTTAAGCAAGTTATTTCTTTGCCTAATTATGTTCCCTCTTCTTTATATGGAAATAATAGGCTCTGTTGCAGTGGTTACGAATGAGTAACTGAACTCAATATAAAGTGCTCAGCATGATGCAAGGCCGAAACCATTATTACTGGGGGAGATGCTCTGTGTCCCTCTCAACGCCTAAGAGTCTCTGAGTACAGTCTGGGATGCTGATGTTGTTGTTGTTGGGTACTACCGAGTCGGTACCCACTCATAGCAACCTTATGCACAACAGAACAAAACACTGCCCGGTCCTACACCCTCCTCACAATTGTTGCGACACCTGAGCCCATTGCTGCCACCACTGTGCCAATCCATCTTGTTGGAGATCTTCTTTTTCTCTGACCCTCCACTTTACCAAACATGATGTCTTTCTCCAGTGACTGGTCCTTCCTGACAATATGTCTGAAGTATGAGAGATGAAGCGTGGCCATTCCAGCTTCCAGGGAGCATCCTAGCTGTGCTTCTTTCAACAGATTGGTGTGTTCTTTTGGCGGTCCGTGGTACTTTTCATATTCTCCTCCAGTAATGATAGTGAGGGCAATGCTGGCATTGCTGTCCTGGTTGGCATCGTCCTGTGAAGTCTGTGCTTCAATACTGAAGAGCTACATGACCTTCTGAGATCCTCTGGACTTTTGTTTTCTAAAGAAGCCTTGGTGGGTCACACACTGGGCTGCTAACTGTAAGGTCAACAGTTCAAACCCACCAGCTCCTCTGTGGGGGAAGAGGTGAGGCTGTTTGCTTCCATAAAGGTTTACAGCTTCAGAAACCCTAGGAAGCAGTTCTATTTTGCCCTATAGGGTTACTATGAGTTGGAACAGGCTAGATGGCAGTGAAGTTTTTATTATAGTTGTTGTTCTTACTGTTTACACGTCCCAGGAAGTCCTTGGGTGGCAGAATAAACACTTGACTGTTAACTGAAATTTGGTGGTTCAAACCCACCCAGAGCGCCCTGGAAGCCAGGCTTGGTGATCTTCCTCTGGAAGGTCACACACCCTGTAAAGAACATTCTATCTGGGCTCATGGAGTCACCATGAGATGAGACTAACTCTGCAGCAGCTGGGTTTTGCTTTTGTACACATCTCTGAGGAAGCAGTGGATGCAGATGCTAGGAGCTGCACAAACTGTTAAGGCTGGGCATCGGAGGGAATGGTGGGGAAGAGTTAGGGCCGTCGGGCAGTCTGAGTAGCAAGAGACTCGGAGATCCAGACAGAGCCACTTTTCTGTAGATACTTCAGTTGAATAAAGGGCTGTCTGCTGAGCAGATGGGTGAACGACTCCCCACAGTTTTCTTTCAGTATCTGATTCCAAGTTATAATAAAATGACCGTAGTGTAGGTATGGAGGTCCTGGGTGGTACTAACCATTAATGTGCTTGGCTGCTAACTGAAATGTTGGAGATTTGAGTCTACCCAGCAGCACCTCAGAAGAAAGGCCTGACTATCTACTTGTGAGAAATCAGCCATTGAAAACCTTATGAAGCACAATTCTACTCTGACGTACATGACGTCACTAACAGTTGTGTTGGCTTGATTGCAATTGGCTGGTAAACAATCAGGTGATAAGTAGGTGGCGTCCTTCCCATGAACTCTACTTTATGCATAATTGTATGGAAGATTCAGAGACTGTGTAGTAGTGTAGTGTCAGCACTGGACTGTGAACCAGAAGGTCAGTGGTTCAAACCCACCAGCCCCTCCTCGGATGTCCTATACAGGGTCGCAATGAGTTGGAACTGACCTTGAGGTCAAGTGCTTATCCTACATTGCCACACCAGGTGTGCTGTTGTTAGTGTTGTACCGTGGAGTCGGTTCCCACTCATAGTGACCCTGCATAGGGTTTCCGAGGCTATAAATCTTTATGGCAGCAGAAAGCCTTATCTTTCTCCTGTGGAGCTGCTGGTAGTTTTGAACTGCCGACCTTGAGGTTAGCAGCCCAATTCGTAACCACTACGCTACCAGAGCTCCTTGAACTCCAGGTGTAGTAGATAAAAAATGTTCTAGGGTAGCAGAACCTCCATGCTATGTATTTGCTTTTTTGACTGACTTCCTGGTCTGTTTACCACCCAGCCCAGAAGGCTTACCTTTCAATTTGAGAACCTTGTCCATCCCAAGCTTTTCCAGCACTCTGGTCCATGGGCCTCTGGAGATGTATCTTCCCTTTGATGTCACAAGAACTATGGAACTGAGCAGAAAAGGACCAATTTGATGAATAACAGAGTATGAGGGCAGTGTGGAGTAAGGGGCGACGGGCGGGACGTTGGATTGTGTGTGGTGGGACGTGAGTGAGCAGAGCCCGGAGACTTGGCCAGTTCTTTGGGAAAGGACAGCTGTTCCTACAGGCCAAGTGACAGGCTCTTTCCATGTGGAGGCAAGTATCCTGACATTCTCCCACTCATCTGGCTGCAGTTGGTGTTCATGTCCTGCTCTAAGCCTGGACTCAGCTCACTGTTTTTTTGTGCCTGTCCCCAAACAGGACAGAGTGTACTTAGAGCACCCCGTTTGGAGGGCCAGCACACAGTAGGGTTTCAGTATGTATTTCTTCAGTTGAATGATCTCATCCCTGTTTGGATAGGGATCGATGGAAACATGGCGACAGAGCGCTCGAACAGAAGGAAGGGAATAACAAGGGGAGGAGGAGAAGGGCAGATAGAAAAGGGGAGAGAAGCCGCATCACTAATCATATCAAGGGACCCAAGAGTTCCTGAGGCTGCTAAAGCCAGGGACCAGCAGCACAGACCGTATGAGGGAGCTTGCTGTAGTTGTGAAATATCGTGGAGTCGGTTCCAACTCATCACGACCCTGTGTAGGGTTTCCGGGGAGCAGCTAGTGAATTTGAACCACTGACCTTGAGGTTCAAACCAGCCCTGCGGTCCAGTGCTTTATCCTACAGCACCACTGGAATGCTGAGTCCCACCCTTTGTTCCTCACCAGCCCAGACCTTCTGAATCAACATTTGGATTTGAACAAAAGCTGGAGGAGATTCTAGCTTTGGGCTAGAAGACTTCTCCCTAGTCCATGCCCACTGGTGTCTTCCTTCAGTGGTCCTAGACTTCACTTGGTCCCGAGCTGGTTTCCTCTGAGTTGCAGTAAGAATACAGCTAGGTTTGAGATCTTTCTGGAAACAGCATCAGGTAGAGGGAAAGACATTTTATAGAGGTACCAGGCTCTCAGGGGATAGTTGGCCTCTTAAACTCCTTCATTCCCCTCTTTGGTCAGGCAAGACAAGGTGACTGGCTCCATCTTGCAAATGGGGAGTTGGAGGCAAATAGTTACTAAGTATCTGAGACAAACCTGCTTGAAGCATTGGGTGTGCCCCCGGAGTGAGGGTCCCAATTCGCAAAAATCCAACTTGGGAGCAAAGAGTCTCTAATCCTTGCCTTGTGTTGTGTTCAGGCCAAATCAGCCTCCCTCCCCTTCACTTAATAAAACACCCTGGAGTCAATTTTAACTCAGGGAGTTCCTGTGTGTAGATTGTAGAACTGCACCCCAAAGTGTTTTCAAGGCTACGAACACTTAGAAACTGATCACCAGACCTATCTTTGTAGGCACCTTTGGGTAGGTTTGAATACACAGACCTTTCGGTTAGGAGTCAAAAGCTTAACCGTTTGTGCCACCAGGGAGCACTGTTTAGGACCAAGTGCCTGGAAAAGGTCCTTCATGAAGGCAGACTCAGCTGGACCAGGCAGAAGGGAGGGAACACCTCAAAATAAGGGCTGCAGCTCAGGGGGGCTTCCAGTTCTCCTCTCCACAGGTACACCCTAACCACAGACCATTGTAAAGACATGAAAAACTGTATGGGGTTCTAGAACCCACTGTTACTCCCATTAGTGTCTCACTGGAAGCAAAAACAACACTCATAAAATGCAAGAGGGGGAGAGAAAGGAACAGCCAGAAATATCACCATAGAAGCTTGTAAGTCTGTCTTCTGCTTATAACTGATTGGAATACCTAAAATGGGGCTACAACGTGCCCAGTGAAGGAGGCTTCCTGTGGAGCCTCTGCATTACATAAAACTATAGGTGGAATCCTGAGCCACATCCAGAATCTTCTGAGGTGGGAAATTTCCACTTGAAAGGACAAGCAGACTAGCCTGGAGCGGCTAGAAGAACAGAAGATACTCCTTGAAAGAAAGACCTACAGGAAAAATACAACAAAACAATGGCAGTCCGATTGATTATTACAAGAACAAGCAAGTTGCTTGCCTAAGAGACATCAAGGCAAGTGGTTGGGTCCCCTCGGGGAAAACCCCCTTCCAAGACTAAGACTCAATGGGAATACGCACTCTGATTGGTAACCACATTCATCACAGATAAGGGGAAATGAGGGAAAAACAGCAATAAAGGTGAGAGCTAAGCCCCACAACATTCAATCAACTCCTGTGAACCCAGGAGTTCCTTTGGCCAACCATTGCTTGTTGGCCAGCAATGTGGGAAGACCTGGGGACTCTTCATCCCAGAGTCAGTGACATAGCCATGGAGGACTAGAGTGGAGAGTGAAGCATCTAGTTAATAAGAAGAGAGGGCATATGCATAAGAACACCCACTTGACCTGGCTTCAATGACTGGAAGATCAGAGCTCAACCAGAAAAAGAAAGAAGAGGAAAAAGAGTAATCTGATACAATTTGATGAACTTGACCTACACCTATGGATGCAGTAGCTCAAAAGAGGAAACAAAATCTTTAGAGTGAGGCTCATTCCCATCCCCTCCATACACAGAGTAGACAGGGATGGGCAACTGTTGCAGACCGTGTAAG